AGGTCCCGAGCGGCCTTGGATGGGACGTTGCTGATCTTGCGCTTCTGTGCGGGGGTGCCGAGGCGCTTCCTCTGGCAGGCGATGCCGACGATAAGCGACACGAGCGCCTGGTGCTTCTTCTTCTCCCTCTGGTGCTCCGGCAAGTCGTCCACAACTCCCTCCCTGCACACACACACACACCGACCCAACACAACACACAGACAGCCAGACAGAGAGATTCGTTCGCATCATGCACGTCTTGACGCCGTGCAGTGCATTCATCCTTCCGTCCTTACTCAGGCAGCAGATCGTCGATCTCAATGACTCCCGTCTCGAGCTCAAGTTCCCCAGCCTTGATAATGCGCACCACAAACTCACTCGGGAAGCGGCGGGCCAGCTCCCTGCAGCCACAAGCACGACAACAGACAGACGACATGCGTCATTAATTGGTCTGTCTGTCCAAAGCCCTGAGCCAGATGTGCTTCTCTTACTCGAAGACCCATTTGGATGTCCGTCTCTCCGACAGGTACCAGGCCGCAGCGTCCCCAGCCCCCCCGGCTGCACGTGGGGTGGAGGTTCGGCTCAGCACTGACGACGCCGGCAGGGACGACGACATGCACACATTCCCCACCTCACCGCGCCCCTGGCGTGAGGCGTAGGGCGTGGTCGGCTGCTTCTCGTCGGGCGGCGGGAGGGCCTCACCCGAGGCCAGTGAGAGGGACCGCTCGGGTGACTGTTGCTGCAGCTCCTTGAGCTCGATCCTGGCCCTGAAGAGGTACTTGCCTGGTCCGGCGGCGCCCGCCTCGCTGGCCGAGCTGGCGCTCGCACTCGAGGCCGACGCCCCACCGTCGAGCTCGATGCGCTCGCCCCAGGCGCGGCAATACTGTTTGATGATGTGCTTGACCTTCTTCCAGAGAGAGTGCTGCAGGTCCATGGCAGTCCTGATGCGCTTCAGCACCGCACTCCGCTGCTCGGCGGCCGTCTCCTCGCGACCGCCCAGCGACCGCCTGGCCGTGGAGAGGTTCGAGTAGGCCTGCCCGAAGGCGTGGCACTTGGCCTTGTCCGCCCCTTCAACCACAAAGTCCTGGTCGCCCTTGGGAACGGTGAAGCTCCACACCAGTTGGCGCACAGAGGGGGAGCTGCCGTGGCTGGAGGGGTCGCCCCAGCCGCCGTCGAGCAGGTCGCCCACCGGCTCGTCATTGGCCACGATGGAGTGCGAGAAGACGCCCTGCAGGAAGTTCTCGCCGAGGGGGCCCAGGAAATACCGATCGGATGCGCCGTTGGCCTTTTTGACTTTGAACTCCTTCTCGGCCCTTTTGCTGCGCTCTGTCTGGGTGCCCCTCTGCTCGGCCTTGTCGATGAGTGACGGCCCGCCCTCCCCCGCTGGCCCGCTGTATGTGCTGGCGTCGTGCGGCACGTCGTCGACGTCCATCGGGTTGGGCGCCGGGATGACCTTGGCGTCCTCGCCAGACGGCCGGATCGGCGGGGTGGGGCCGACCGAGAAGTTGCGCCTGCCGACGTCGGCCGATGGTGGGAATGCGGGGCGGCCTCCGGGGGTGGTGGCCATGCCGCTGAGGGAGGCCGTGGGGCTCGCAGACGGCCCCCCCTTGCTGCCCGTGTCACTGGCAGCCGAGAAGGGCAGAAAGGGTCGCTGCTGCTGCTGTGAGACATCCGATGACGCATAGTCAGACGGCAGCGCCTGTGGCGATGGCTGCGAGGGCCCCTCGGTGATGCTGGGGGTGCCGGGGGGACCGGTGGCACTGCCGACCCGCAGAGGGAAGCTGAAGGCCTGCAGGTGGGGCTGGAAGGGGGCGCCCTGCTCGGAAAGGTTGGAACCCAGGCTCTGGGAGGTGCTGATGGACGGGCCGTCGGGCGGGGCCTGCGGCGGGGCCATCGGTGAGGGCGCCGGGCTGGGCACCTTCCGCTGCTCCGGCACCTGTGACGGCGTGCCGCCGCCCACGAAAGGCCGACCCTGGGCGCTGTATGCAGTGGGCGGCGCGCCTGCGTTGTATGGCACCGGGAAGTGCGCCTGCACGGCCGACTTGGGCAGGGGGGTGAAGCTTTCGCTGGGCGCCGACGTGACGCGCCATGGGCCCTCAGGGTCGCCGGCAGCAGCTGCTTGGAGTGAGGGGATCGGTCCCAGGATACTGGCCTCGTCGTTGGGCCCGGCGGATGGGGGCCTGGGAGGGGCGGCACGCTGCTGCGAGGGTGACTGGGTGGGCGGGGGAGCCTGGGGCTGCAGCTTCTGACCACCAACCGCCGCGATGCCAATGGCCGACAGACTCTGCGCAGATATGGGCTGCCCGGCCTGTGAGGACGATGGGCCGATGACGCCGGCGGCTCCCGTGGGTCTGATTGGCCTGAAGACGCCGTCAGCGGGCCAGCTGGCGCCTGCCTCCTGCCAGCCCTGCGCCCACCCCTGCTGGCTTGTGCGGTTGCTGGGTGAAGTGGCACCGCCCTCGCCGCCCAGTGGTGGGGGGAGGATGCCGGTGGGGGGCTGTGCTGGGCCTCCCACGGGGGGCGATGGTGACCTTGCCTCAGTGGGTGTGGGGCGGGAGGAGGTGGAGACGGGTGTGGGGACTGGCTGCTGCAGGCCCGACTGGGCCGCCTCATCCAACATCCTTGGGGCCTGGTCCAGCTGACGAATCGTCTGCAGACACCGACAAACGACAACGACATCGTTTCAAGGGACAGCTGTCAGTGTGAGGGTCCGGTGCGCATACATACCAAGTGTAGGTCCTGTGGGAGGGGGGATGATTTAGTGACCCTCTGCCCCCTGTTGGTGGAATCGGGCGCCTCGAATTCCAGGAGGCTGGCGTGCAGGAACAGCCGGGGGCACCACGAACGGTCGCTCGCCAGACTCATCGGCTGCAACATCCGAGCGTCGCACACTAGCGGGTGACCATACTCAGCGAACTTCGATCTGACAGCAAGAAAGATGTCATCAATCCGTCCGTCAGAGAGGCAGGTATGGTACACATGCGTCTCGCGTCTCTGGCTCACTACTCACCTGATTTGCTGCAGGAACCCCGAGAAGACAGTGCACTTGACGAGAGTGAACTCCTCGGCCCCGGCGGGCGGCGGGATGCCGGCAGACCCAGTGGGCAGACGGCGGCCCCTGGTTCCCCCTGCCGCTCGGTGGTAGTAGCCCATGACGTTGACCCTCATGTGAAGGGTGCACCGTGCGTTTTGGATCTCCTCGGGCGTGGACGGGGCCGCCGAGTTTGTCCCCGGCCCCTTGAGATTGAGGATGACCGGCTCGTTGACCGTCACCTCACGCTCCTTCATGCGCTCGTGGCACAAGGCGATGTACTCCCGCACTATCGGCTTCTCTGTGGTGGGCAGAGAGGGCGCCGCGGCTCCCGAGCCGGAGGGCAGCTGCCTCGCGAGCATGTCCTTGCACTTGGTGCGCCTGGCGATGATGAGCAGGCCCGACACGTCCATGGGCAGTGGCGGGCCGACGACGGCCCACTCGGTGGTGAATATCTGGAAGTGTGAGCACATGAAGAAGGAGAGGAGGTGCTCGGGGCACTGGCTGATGATGAGCCCCTCGATGTGGGTGGACGCCGACTCCTTGTCGCTGCACACCAGGGGAGACAGCGTGCTGCCGCTCGCAAGAGATCGCCAGAAGGCCGGCTTCTCCACCACCTGCACCACATCCAATCCACCACACAACAACACATCGATGTCTGTCTGTGTAGCTGGCTGCTATAGCCATTAAGTCAGTGATGTCCCTCCATCCCTGCCCACATACCATGCAGTCGTTGCCCTCCCAGACGATCTTGGGTGCCTCCTTCCGCTTGGGCACCACGTGCAGTTTCCCCCCAGCCCCCCCAGCGGCGTCCGACCCCTCCATCCGACGCCAGTGGTCCTCGGTCCACAAATCCTCACGCAACACGTGCCACTCGTCCACTGTGTAT